GCTGGATTACAGCGGTCTTCATAAGAACAGGATTGGTCTTTGGGCAGTATAGTGAGGGGGTTATTTGGCCTCAGTTCTACTTTAGGGACCTCTGTAGTGAGGTTTATGATATTTCTACAGCAGTGTAGAAATGATATTCTAACTAAAATTGGGGTTGGGAGGAATAAGGTGATTTATAGGAAACGTTCATTAATTGTCTCATCTATAATACCTGGGAGTTCAAAAGACTTAACATTTAAAAAAAGATAGCCCTACAGATTAAGTATCACACTGAAAGGCTCCCGATTTTAAAGAAATTCTTTCATATTTCTGTATAATAGTCTGATGCTGCTATTTGGGTTTCCTTTGTTTTGTTTTTCATTTAAATCTTAGATCCTTTTGGGATTTGTCCTTTTCTGAGTCCAGCTTGAATTTTTCCAATTTTTCCTAACTAGTTCTTCCAGCATAATTTATTGTATGTTGTGTCTTTTCTCCATGGATTTAAGAGACCAACCGTATTGTATGCTAGATTTTCATTCTTATTATACAGATTCTCTTTTCTGTTCTCCTGGCCTGTCTATCCATGTGCCACTTGTATTCTGAATTCACATGTCTATTGAATCTATTTCTGGAGTTTTTATTTTGTTTCTTTGGTCTGATTGCCTATTAATGTTTTAATTATTAAGATTCCACAATGGTTTTATTTTTGTTTTTGAGACAGAGTCTTGCTCTGTTGCCCAGGCTGGAGTGCAGTGGCACGATTTTGGCCTACTGCATCCTCTTGTCTCCCAGGTTCAAGTGATTCTCCTGCCTCAGCCTCCCACGTAGGTGGGATTACAGGTGCTCACCACCATGCCTGGCTAATTTTTGTATTTTTAGTAGAGACGGGGTTTCACCTTGTTGACCAGGATGGTCTCGATCTCTTGACCTCGTGATCCACCCGCCTTGGCCTCCCAAAGTGCTGGGATTATAGGCGTGAGCCACCGTGCTGGACTCTGTTTGTTTTTAAGACAGGATCTCAACTCTGTCACCCAGGCTGCAGTCAGTGGTGCAAACAGGGCTCACTGCAGCCTCTGCTTCCTGGGCTCAAGCAGTCCTCCTGCCTTGGCCTTCCAAGTAGCTGGGTCCACAAGTATGTGCAGCCACACCTGGCTAATTTTTGTATTTTTTTGTAGAGATGAGGTTTTGTCATTTCCCAAGCTGTCTGAACCCCTGGACTCAAGTGATCTGCCTGTCTTGGCCTCCCAAAGTGCTGAGATTACAGACCTGAGCCAACACACTGGCTCTCTGTCATTCTTTTTAATCCTTTTAACCTATCCCATTGTTTCTGTTTCCTGGCATCGCTTTCTTATTTTGGTCCTCTTTTTCCAATTCTGTGCTTTCCAAGATGGCTGTTCCTGTTGTGCTGCTTCTTATGTTGTCTTCACGTCTCTGGGTGATTTTCCCTCCTTTCCTGAGTTCTGCCAGTATACGTTTCATCTCTTCCTGTCGTCTCGCCATCCGTTCCTCGAGCTGTACTCTGTGGTATTCCTTTACAAAGACAGTCGCTTCATTTAATTATTTTTGTGGGTGGAAATTTTCTCAGTAATAATAATTCCTCGGACCAGGCCACATGCTTCAATTCTGTAATCCCAGTACTTTTGGAGGCCAGGGTTGGTGGATCACTTGAGGTCAGGAGTTTGAGACCAGCCTGGCCAACATGGGGAAACCCCAACTCTATTAAAAATGCAAAAAAAATAAGACAGGCCTGATGGTATGCACCTATAATTCCAGCTACTCAGGAAGCTGAGGCAGGAGAATCACTTGAACCCAGGAGGCAGAGGTTGCAGTGAGCCGAGATTGTGCCACTGCACTCCAGCCTGGGCAACAGAGCAAGACTCCATCTAAAAAAAAAAAAAAAACCAAACCAAAACAAAAAAATCTTGGATTAATGTGCATGGGTCAAAGGCTCTTTTCTTCTCTGCTTTCCAGAAACAGCTTCCTGTATACATGGCTGCCCTGCGTGATTCCAGTTGCAGTCTCACCTCTTTGCCTCTCTGAACCAAAGAAGCCAGCCCTGCTTACCCCAGTTCCCAAACACAGGAAGTGATTTTCTGCCTGAGCTTTCTGAGATCTGCTCCCTCCCACCCCAGTGCTCTCCATGCTTATTCATGGAGCTTCCTTCCTCATTGCTTCTTCCCAGTCCACTGTTTTGGGACACCCTGACGTGTATTTTGGTGTCTGCAAATTTTATCTTCTGATCTCACTGAAAATAAAATTGGATTTTTACTTGTTTTCCTTGTTGCTTCTGAGCTCCTTTGAGAGCTAACCAGTTCTGATTTTAAAACAGCAAAACCCCTTAGTAGCTAATGTTACCTATTCAGAAGAGAAAATTACTAAAATCATCCACCAAAAATGTTTTTGGGCATGTTAGTTTGCTGAAAACAAATTGGGGCCTTGACCTGCAGGTCCTTCTAGAATAGAGATGATAGCAGGGCTCTGTGCTCAAAACTTGCCAAAAAACTGTCTTCCAGGGTCAGGCACAGTAGCTCACTCCAGTAATCCAGCACTGTGGGAGGCTGAGGCAGGAGGATTGCTTGCGGTCAAGAGTTTGAGACCAGCCTGGCCAACATGGTAAAATATCATCTCTACTAAAAATACAAAAATTAGCCAGGAGTCATGGTGGGCACCTGTAATTCCAGCTACTCAGGAGGCCAAGGCAAGAGAATTGCTTGAACCCAAGAGACGGAGGTTGCACTGAGCTAAGATTGCACCACTGCACTCTAGCCTGAGTGACACAGTGAGACTCTGTCTCAGACAAAAAAAAAAAACAACTATCTTGCAGGAAGTTGAAGAAGCACAGAATTCCTGGCCCTGCCGAGTCAGAGTATGCCTTGTGCCCCTCATGCCTGTATCTGTCCCCTAGGGATGAGGGGTGGGGCTGGAGGGCAATTCTATGAACCCGCAGATTACCAGCAACATGTGGAAGCATGGAGTGTAATTATATCCCTGTTTTCAACTTTAAATGTGATCTTATGGCCATGCACGGTGGCTCATGGCTGTCATCCCAGCACTTTGGGAGGCTGAGGCAGGAGGATCACTTCAGCCCAGGAGTTTGAGACTAGCCCGGGCAACATGGTGAAACCCCATCTACAAAAATACATAAAAATTAGCTGGGCATGGTGCATACAGCTGCGTAATCCCAGCTACCTTCGAGGGTAAGGTGGGAGAGTCAGATGAGCCCAGAAAGTCAAGGCTGCTGGGAGCTGTGATCCCACCACTACACTCCCACCTCAGGGACAGACTGAGACCTTGTCTCAAAAAAAAAAAAAAAAAAAAATGTGATCTTAAATTAACTGAAGGCAATACTGGAGCCCAGGTCCTGCTTGAGAGGGGCATGTCCAATTTTATCATGCTCCTATGTGGAAGTTTACATTAACTTACAGAAACTTAATTAATTGAGCATCTACCTTTATTGTTTTATTTTTTGAGACAGAGTCTCATTCTGTCGCCAGGCTGGAATGCAGTGGTGTGACCCCAGCTTGCTGCAACCTCCACCTCCAGAGTTCAAGTGATTCTTCTGCCTCATCCTCCTGAGTAGGTGGGATTATAGGCACCCACCACCACACTTGGCTAATTTTTATATTTTTAATAGAGATGGGGTTTCACCATGTTGGCCAGGATGGTCTTGATCTCTTGACCTCATGATCCACCCACCTTGGCCTCCCAAAGTGCTGGGATTATAGGCGTGAGCCACCGTACCTGGCTGAGCATCTAACTTTAAATAAAGTTTATTAGCTTTAATAATAGAAATATCACTAAGAGGCTGGGCATGGTGGCTCACACCTGTAATCCCACCACTTTGGAGGCCCAGGCAGGTGGATCACCTGAGGTCAGGAGTTCGAAACCAGCCAGACCAACATAGTGAGACCCCATCTCTACTAAAAATACCAAAATTAGCTGGGTGCCTGTAGTCCCAGCTACTCGGGAGGCTGAGGCAGGAGAATCACTTGAATCCAAGAGGTGGAGGTTGCAATGAGCTGAGGTCTCGCCACTGCTGTCCAGGCTAGGTGGCTGAGTGAGACTCTGTCTCAAAAAAAAAAAAAAGGCTGGGTACAGTGGCTCACACCCATAATCCCTACACTCATTTATTCAGTCATTACATTGAATCAAGCATGAGGTACTATAGTGAGTGTTGGGGTAATTGGGTAGGTACTCTGGTGATGTCCTTTATAATTCCCACCTGACTTCATTTCCTGGGTAAAAACACAGGTAGTGGGAACATGGAACCCAAATCTTTAAGGCTTTGAAATTCTGAGTGATTGCTACAAAGATTATGAGACCTGACAATTAAGTAACCAGTTAGAATGAAATTAGCCTGCTTTTTTCTTTTCCTCCGACTTTTAAGTTCAGGGGTACATAGGCAGGATGTGCAGGTTTGCCACGAAGGTAAATGTATGCCATGGTGGTTTGCTGCCCAGATCATTCCACCAGCTAGGTGTTAAGCCCACCATGCATTAGCTATTCTTCCTGATGCTCTTCCTCTATGTCCCACACAGGCCCTAGTGTGTGTTGTTCCCCCCATGTCTGTGTTCTCATCGTTCACCTCCTACTTATAAGAGAGAATATGCAGTGTTTGGTTTTCTGCTCCTGTGTTGGTTTACTGAGGATAATGGCTTCTAACTCCATTTATGTCCCTGCAAAGGACATGATCTTGTTCCTTTTTATGGCTGCATAATATTCCATGGCGTATATATACTACATTTGCTTCATCCAGTCTATCATTGATGGGCATTTGCATTGATTCTATGTCTTTGCTCTTGTGAATAGTGCTGCGGTGAACATACGCATGCATGTATCTGTATAATAGAATGGTTTATATTCCTTTGGGTATAATAAACCTGGGTATCAAAGGCTTTGAGGATTTCCTAGCCTCTTTGTGTTGACCGAAGTTTAATTTTTATACATTTCCCCCTCAGTTTTCTTTTGCCATCATGACAGGGAGTTGAGTAGACATTGTATGTTTTTCTTCATTGTTTCAGATTTTGAGATACAGAGTGAAAATGGGGAGAACTGTAATCAAGACATGTTTGAGGACAAATCACATGAGATATTCTCGGAAGTGCCTGAAGAGGAAAGTGCTCAGCACTCCGATGGGGAAAGTGACTTTGAGAGAGATGCTGGCACCGGGAGGCCCCAGGGACACACCCCAGGCAAGGACCTCAGGGAGGTGCTCTCCCAGGACAAGGAAGTTGGCCAGCTCATAGGCCTGCAGGGCACCTACCTGGGGGAGAAGCCCTATGAATGTCCCCAGTGTGGAAAGACCTTCAGCCGGAAGTCCCACCTCATCACACATGAGCGGACCCACACAGGAGAGAAATACTACAAATGTGACGAATGTGGAAAAAGCTTTAGTGACGGTTCAAACTTTAGTAGACACCAAACCACTCACACCGGGGAGAAGCCCTACAAATGCAGGGACTGTGGGAAGAGCTTTAGCCGGAGCGCCAACCTCATAACTCACCAGAGGATCCACACGGGGGAGAAGCCCTTCCAGTGTGCTGAGTGTGGCAAGAGCTTCAGCAGGAGCCCCAACCTCATTGCACATCAGCGCACCCACACGGGAGAGAAACCCTACTCGTGCCCCGAGTGTGGAAAGAGCTTTGGCAACCGGTCCAGCCTCAACACGCACCAGGGGATCCACACTGGAGAAAAGCCCTATGAATGTAAAGAATGCGGCGAAAGCTTTAGTTACAACTCCAACCTAATCAGGCACCAGAGAATCCACACAGGGGAGAAACCCTACAAATGTACCGACTGCGGGCAGAGATTCAGCCAGAGTTCAGCCCTCATCACCCACCGGAGAACTCACACGGGAGAGAAGCCTTACCAGTGCGGCGAGTGCGGGAAGAGCTTCAGCCGCAGCTCCAACCTGGCCACGCACCGGAGAACCCACATGGTGGAGAAGCCCTATAAGTGTGGGGTGTGTGGGAAGAGCTTCAGCCAGAGCTCCAGTCTGATCGCACACCAGGGCATGCACACAGGGGAGAAACCCTACGAGTGCCTGACGTGTGGGGAGAGCTTCAGCTGGAGCTCCAACCTCCTCAAGCACCAGAGGATCCACACGGGCGAGAAGCCCTACAAATGCAGCGAGTGTGGGAAATGCTTCAGCCAGCGCTCCCAGCTCGTAGTGCACCAGCGGACCCACACGGGCGAGAAGCCCTACAAATGCCCCATGTGCGGCAAGAGCTTCAGCCGGGGCTCCATTCTGGTCATGCACCAGAGAGCGCATTTGGGAGACAAGCCCTACAGGTGCCCCGAGTGTGGGAAAGGCTTTAGCTGGAACTCAGTCCTCATTATACATCAGCGAATCCACACAGGGGAGAAGCCCTACAAATGCCCCGAGTGTGGCAAAGGCTTCAGCAACAGCTCTAACTTTATCACACATCAGAGAACTCACATGAAAGAGAAACTTTACTGACGTGGCCAAGAGCGAAAGTGAGGGGCTGGCTCTGGAGCGGAAGTTGCCACACTGCTCAGCAGTGATTGAAAGAGCTGTGCTTCCCAAACGCTCTGGGGGTTTTTGCGGGAATCTTCCCCTTGCTCATCCTCATTTCCAGTACGCAATCATTGTAGTGGTCTGAGTCAAGCCCCATATGTGTTCAAGAACAGGGTGTAGGAGTGGAAGGTCTGGAAATTTGGGTCTTCTTTTCCCTTACATTGTGTGACTTGATTGGCCCCCTCTCTTGTGATTCTTCTGTGCCTCAGTTTCTTCTTCAGTAAAGTGGTGGCGGGGGGGAGTGTTTCTCCATGTGGATGGAAGACAGCATGGCCCACAATGTGGGCCAAGTCCTCAGAGAAGTACTGGAAATCCATTGCTGTGGTTCTTGTTTTGCTGCCACTGTGCTGGGCTCAGGTGCCTTCCCTGCAAGCTGTTAGTGTTCCCCGGGCTCCCTGCCCATGCTAGAATCTGCTCTTCTGGCTTCAGTGTCTTGGGCTTTGATTTCAGGTCAAGATGGAGGGGCTTCTCCAGTTCTGAGTCACCCACATGAAGATAAAACCCTTTTCTATTTCCAGAAAGTGTCAGGAGCACAGAAACATGAGGAAGTACGGCCTGGAGCCAGTGCCCCAGTGTCCTTTCCAGTGACAAGAGTCAGGGCCTGCAGGAAAGGGGTAAACCGAGGACATTCCAGTGCTTGCTTTTTCTCTGTCTAGTGTCCTGTGATAAGTCAGCTACCAGGATAACACATTTGTTCTCGTGGGGTCTCCTTCTGGAGAGTGGAGTAAAGTCTGAGAGCCCCAGCTGCCAACCTGTGGTGGATGGTAACTTCCGTCTCATCAAGAGTAACACAGCAGGGTGGGCGTGTGCCTTTGCCCCAACAGATACATAGTCCCATAACCATTTCTGAATTATTCTGTGCACTTATTTCCCTCTTCTATTTTTAACTTGATATATGCAGACCTAGAGTCCTGTCGGGTAGCTTTTGTATATGAAGAACATTATTTTTAAAGAAGTGCTAACTTTGAGGACATATCTGTTCCCTGGAGATATTTGGGTTTGAATCATGAGGTTTTCCTACAGGTGTCGCCCTTGATCTCGGGACGCTATCAGGGCTTTGTTCTCTAGATCCTTGCGCCTGGAGAGAGTGAAGACGGGAGTGACGGCAGGTGAAAGGCTTTGCTGTGAAGGAAAAGGAGATAAGGCGTTTCCAGGACATGGGAAACTGCCTCCTCCTGCACATGGGGCCTGTGCTCAGAATGGGCTGGGTCCCTATTCCCTAATAAAGTTCCATTATTTTCCGGAGTCTGTCTTTTACTGTGTGTTAAAAACCTGAACTGACTGGGCCGGGCGCGGTGACTCACTCCTGTAATCCCAGCACTTTGGGAGGCCGAGGCGGGCGGATCACAAGGTCAAGAGATCGAGACAATCTTGGCTAACATGATGAAACCCCATCTCTACTAAAAATACAAAAATTATCTGGACATGGTGGCGTGCGCCTGTAGACCCAGCTACTCGGGAGGTTGAGGCAGGAGAATTGCTTGAACCTGGGAGGGGGAGGTTGCAGTGAGCCGAGGTCAAGCTACTGCACTCCAGCCTGGAGCCTGGCAACAGAGCGAGACTCTGTCTCAAAAAAAAAACAAAAAAACAAAAACCTGAACTGTTAGCAAACTCACACCTCACTTCCCCACCCCACTTGTGGGTGAACCTAGACCTGTGTGTGCCACCTTCCCGCTCGCTGCCTTTTACAAACTCTACATGGAATCTGTCATCCAAGACTTGGAGCCATAGCTTTGGCTAAGGATCCAGATGGCATCCTGAGGAGGCCATTGGGAGTCATCTCTGTCCAAAATCAACTTAGACATGAGGAGGAAATTCTAGGCAGTGATGTTTGTTAAACCAAGAGAAAAAAAAATCAAGTAGGCTATGAAATCCCCATCATTAGTGCCATTCCTTCACTTACTCAGCCAACAGGTTCTAGGAGTTGTGAAGAAGTCCCTTCATTTGTCCAATAGAAAGATTCCCGGCCTGGCGCAGTGGCTCACGCCTGTAGTCCCAGCATTTAGGGAGGCCGGTGGATGGATTATGAGGTCAGGAGATTGAGACCATCCTAGCTAACACAGTGAAACCCTGTCTCTATTTAAAAAAAAAAAAAAAAAAACAAATTCAAAAAAAAAATTAGCTTGGCGTGGTGACAGGCGCCTGTAGTCGTAGCTACTCGGGAGGCTAAGGCAGGAGAATCTCTTGAACCTGGGAAGCAGAGGTTCCGGTGAGCTGAGATGGCACCACTGCACTCCAGCCTGGGCGAGAGTGAGACTCCGTCTCAAAAAAAATAAAGAGATTCCCATCTGTCTGGGAAGATACAAGAGCTGCCTGAGCAGTAAGGGAAACGGATGGTTTCCCACCTGACATGAGGTTCTGGAGTTTAATTTCTACAACTTGGGTTGTAGAAAATACTGGATCTTTTTTTAAGTCTCAACTTGAGAGAAGAGTTTATATTAAGCTTTTTGAATTTTTTTAACTCCTTGCCTAGTAGAAACACAAAATATCCTAGGAAAAAAAGGAAACCAGATTAGCTGGAACTGCAATTGCTAAATTAACCTGGAACCAAGACATTGTTGAGAAAATGACAAATTACAGTTCTTGAAAGGTTGAGAGTTGCCTGAGGTTGTTGCTTTGCAAATTGAAAAATAAATAAATAATAAAGGTTGCAAGCCCATCACTTCAGGTCCTTCCTCCTCTTTATGGGTCCCCAGAGGCAAAGGGGTCAGGACACAGTAGCCTTTGTGTAGCTGTGTGTCAGGTGGAAGGACACATCTTTGTCCCTAAACATTTCAAGAAGCCCAATCGTTTTGGAAGGTATACCTCTGCCACATCTTTGCTTGCAACTCAATTACACCTGTGTCTCTAGCAAAGGATATTTCTCCTTAAGTGTACATGTCTTTAGAGATCTAGCTTTTGTCATTGGTCTGTTTCTAAAATCATGGGAACAGCCTTGGACCATTAAAAATCGACAGTAAAGCCCGGTGCTATGGTGTGCACCTATAATCTCAGCTACTCAGAAGGCTGAGGCAGGAGGATCGCTTCAGTCTGGAGTTACCGAGACCAGCCTCAAAAATCTGCAATAAGGCTGGGTGTGGTGGCGCATGCCTGTAATCCCAGCTATTTGGAAGGCTGAGGCAGGAGAATTGCTTGAACCCAGGAGGCAGAGGTTGCAGTGAGCCAAGATCGCACCACTGCACTCCAGCCTGGGTGACAGAGCCAGACTCTATTTCAAAAAAAAAAAGTCTACAATAAATGGTAAAAAGAACTGGATGCAGTGGCTCACGCCTACAATCCCAACACTGGTTGGGAGGCTGAAGTGGGTGGATTGCCTGAACTCAGGAGTTCAAGACCTCCCTGGGCAACATGGCGAAACCCCGTCTCTACAAAAAATACAAAAATTAGCCAGGTGTGGTGGCAGGTGCCTGTAGTCCCAGCTACTTGGGAGGCTGAGGCAGGAGAATTGCTTGAACCTGGGAGGGGGAGGTTTCAGTGAGCTGAGATCACGCCACTGCACTCCTGCCTGGGTGACAGAGTGATACTCTGTCCAAGAAAAAGAAAAAAAGCAAGAGATAACCAAAACGCAATCGCTTCACCCTCAGCGTGGCCCTCAGGTCCACCTCAGCAAGTCTGTTACCTGACTTTGGTCACTTCCCTCTCCCAGGCCCCACGATGGCTTTGTACCCTTTGGCAATTCTCAGAATGTCAGCTCCCAGGCTCAGCTCACATCTGAGAACCTTGAACTGTCAGGTTGAACTCCCTCTGTTTCCCACCTTCAGGCTAACCTCTCTGCGCTCCCTCAAGCCCTTCACCCCACCCTCAGCCTGGAGCTGTGCCTTCAGCTTCACAGTAACCTCCACCCAGACCCTTCGCTCCACTTCTCCAGGATCAGGACCTTGCCCCATCAGCTCTTTCCTGTCTTGGCTTCAAGTCACTGTCCTGGCTTCTTCCTGCCACCTACTCACCTGCTGAAGTTTGCCTGGAATCTCAAACTCAGCATGTCCCCCGACTGCCTCTCCTTGCCTGTCCTCATTGTGAGCAGCACTGCCACCCACCCTGCCTCACCCAATCCCAAAACCTGGGATCATCCAAGACGCCTTCCTCCTTCACCTCCCTCAGAGCTATTCATTCAGGGAACCACAATGTGCACATTCTGCCTCCCTACTCAGCATTCCCAGCCTCAAAGCCCCTGGCAGAGTTGAGACCTTTGCCTGGCAGCTGCCACAGCCCTTCCTGGGTGCTTCCCCAGGCTCCCTCCCTCCCTGCACCTGCCTCTCCGTGTTGCTGCTAGAGTGAGCATTCTTTCGCAGCAGAGCAGAACCATCCACCAGCTAGCTTACACCTTGAGGGGCTCCCCATCACCGCCAGAAAGGCCACAGTCCTCCACAGCAGATAGGCCTTCCCATGGGGAACCTCTCTGGAACTCATCACATCCATCTCTTGCCTTGCCCTGGTCACCACACCTCTGTGCCCTTGACCGTCCTCATCCCGGGCAGCTCCCCCTCACTATGTGCAGCTGAGCCTTGCCTCAGTGCCCCTGCTCACCCTGCTCCCTTTTCTGGAATGCCGGACCTCCCTGTTTGCCGGGGCACACCTGCCCATTTTTGAAGACGCAGCTTGAGCACCACCTCCTCCGTGAGTCCTCCTCCCCGCTCTTCTCTGGTCGACTTGACCCTGCCTGTGCGCTCCTGCACTCTCCAGCTTCAGCACCGTGACTCTACTTAGGTTGATCTGTTACATGCCCTCCCTACTTCATCCTGCTCCCTCCCTCCCTTACATTTTTTTATGTTGATAACTCATTCTGAGGTTCCAGCTCCAGGAACCTCCAGTTCTAGTGCCCAGCTCAATGCTTGTGATGCAAACTCAGGAAATATTTGCCAATTGATTCTCTTCATAGAAATACATAGACATGCAGGAGGCAGGTGGAACCCGTGATTCTGGCCTGGATAGTGGATTAGGTTTCCTACGCTTTCCTTTGGTCAGATGATAAATATTAGTTTTATTTCAGTGCCCTTTCAGTATTTACCTGTGTAAGTTATGCACACAGCTAAAGACATTTATAAAAACGAACTCGCCAATATTCTAACAAAATGACATCTTACAGTTTTGAAATGTCACGGAAAATCAAAAGCCCATGGAAAACCATGCATATTGTAGCCAAATCTGTAGTACACAATCTATTTTTTTTTAAATAGAAACAGGATCTCACTATGTTGCCCAGGCTGGTCTGGAACTCCTGGGCTCAGGCAATCCACTCACCTCAGCCTCCCAAAGTGCTGTGATTACAGGTGTGAGCCACTGCACCCCGTCTTTTTTTTTTTTCAATAGAGACAGGGTCTCTTGCTATGTTGCCCAGGCTGGTCTCAGACTTCTGGGCTCAAGTGATCCTTCCACCTTGGCCTCCCAGAATGCTGGAATAACAGGAATGCACCACCACTCTCGGTTCACAATTTTTTTTTACCTGTTTGGACAAGCAGTGAACCCTCAGATACTTTACCTTATTCTTATCCTTTAATCCGGTGAATTCATATAACTATCCTGAGGCGATTCCTCTATTTTTGTGTTTAGGTTTTTTTTTTTTTTGAGATGGAGTTTCTATCCTGTTGTCTAGGCTGGAGTGCAATGATGTGATCTCTGTTCACTGCAACCTCTGCCTCCTGGGTTCAGTGATTCTCCTGCCTCAGCTTCCTGTGTAGCTGGGATTACAGGAGCCTACCACCACGCCCAGCTAATTTTTGTATTTTTAGTAGAGACAGGGTTTCACCATGTTGGCCAGGCTGGTTTCAAACTCCTGATCTCAGGTGATCACCCACTTCAGCCTCCCAAAGTGCTGGGATTACAGGCATGAGCCACCACGCCTGGCCCCCTTTGTTTTAAATTGTTATTGGGCCGGCACAGTGGCTCACACCTATAATCCCAACACTCTGGGAGGCCAAGGTGTGTGGATCATTTGATGTCAGCAATTCAAGACCAGTCAGGCCAACATCGTGAAACCCCGTCTTTACTGAAAATACAAAAATTAAATGGGCATGGTGGCGGGCACCTGTAGTCCCAGCTATTCAGGAAGCTGAGGCAGGAGAATCACTTGAAACCAGAAGGCAGAGGTTGCAGTAAGCTGCTATCATGCCACTGCACTCCAGCCTGGGCAACAAGAGTGAAACTCCATCTCTTAATAAACAAATAGTTATTAATATGTAGCAGACAAGGGCACACAAGTGTACAGTTCATTGATTTTTTTACAAACTGCACACACCTGTATAACT